TACCCCCCCCCCCTCCCCCCCCCCCCCCCCCCCCCCCGAAAAAAAAGAAAAAAAGAAAACCGGAATCAATTTACGAGTAACTTAAGAAGTCAATGAAGGGCAATCGCAAGCACGTTAAAGTTAAAATACAGATTGCGTTCTTTTATAATTATTTGTAATGTACTAATTTTCTCCCAAAAGTATTTGAGACGGAATGATCAGATTAGAGAGTTTAAGACCTGGAAATGTTTCACGTTTGACATTTGAGAAAAAAAAAATCGTCTAGCGTCACACGTTCATAAAAAAGCACATATATTATTGAAAGCGATTTTGACGAGTAGGCAAATTAGAAAAACATTTATCTGTCATTTGACAAATCCTTAATCAAACGAACGTTATTGACACCTTTTTTAACAAGCGTAGGCTGCAGACTGATTGGAGCAAGGTGACGATGCGGGCAAGTTGGTTCATTATACAACTGGTACAATGACAAAAACAAGAAGGTGCTGACAAGACAAGTGCCGGATTTCAAATGATTATTTTTTTTATTACGGTCGTCTATTATTATATATTTAGTAGAATCTAGCGCTTCTCTCGTCAACACCTTTCTCGTTATGGTTATATATGCTCTGGTCCCAGTTCTACCGTTATAGCATGGTATTGTAGTGAACCAAGAGCACTCATAACTTTTAATGATTTTGTATTCGGAATCATCGCGAATTTTGTTCTAGGGCGTCTTCTGACTCTTCCTATCGACTTTTCTTTGAGTTTTATACTAGCGCTCTTGATATTAAAAACGATGGGGACTGTGGGTTTTCACATATTATGGTAGCATATTATGTTGTGAACCATGCCTTTTTGTTCCATAAAAGTAGCTCACTTTTATTTGACATCAAAATATTGGCTTAGTCAATGGACTACTAAGCAATTAAAGGCGATGTGTTGAAATGATTGGGAAAATTTTGATTATTTAAGTGGCACTTCTGGTGCATCCGGAGCTGTACCCTGAGTTATTCGCTTTTTTTATAACAATCACTATCACTAATTCTTTGCTGGCAAATAAGGCGCTATTGTCAGATAACTACTCTAAATATGGATTAAATAATCAGAAATATTAGCAATTTTTTTATTCTTATATAAAAATATTTTTTTTATATTGTGAAAAGTGACAGGCGAACTTTAATGTCAATAAGTGGACACATGTTAGATTTCCTAAAATCAGAAGATCATAAGTAACTATCGGCACGAAAAGTTCAAGGGTCATGTCTAAGTGATCAATCTCAAGGATCTTGATATGGCTCATTTCATATAACATATTTTGCCAACGCATCAAGCCTATCTGCAAAATACCAAGTGTTCGAACCTACTACGATCAATTTACACTGTCAGATTGCCCCGATATTGATGTTGATTGTAGCGCCTCGTTTTTCAGATGAAAAACTGCAGGTGAACAATGGTGTGCAACTGTATCGTATTCTCAAATTTGCTGCACTCATTGCAGTCAAACTATCGAAGCTGTTTGCGTATATTTTCATGCTTTTTCGTCGTGAGAGGAGGAGTCCTGTTCACCCTGTTTTTGTCTCCCTCGTTTTGATTTAAAGTTTAATATTTTTAAATGTATTTGTGTTGGACGTATATAGAGATATTTTTTTTTTGCTTTGTGTCACTTGGAGCTTTGACGGTCGGATATAATTGAAATGATGAAGTTTGTGTTGATTGCGTGCTTCTTGGGATATGACCCTGACTTGAGATTCGTAGTTTCATAATTGCTTTATTTTTGTTTGTAATTATCTCTGCTACGCCATTATGTTTCCGCTGTTGCACTGAACGGGCCAGAGGTGCTATCGTGCATAATACACCTTTCTCTTCTGCCTCCGCGGATGACATCCGCGAAGCAAACAAACAAAAACAAACTCTAAAACACTTTGTACCTTTAATATATCTTCAAAAAGGTCAACACACATTTATTGTATGTAATGCGCACGAAGAATATTTCGATTACGAGTTCCGACAGAATGTCATCAGCACGAAAGAGGCCCAATAATGAGAGTTACACACAGATAATGAAACAAGGTCGAGGCTCAAAATTTCAGATTCTATTTATAACAAAGTGCTTGGTGTATCCGGAAGAGCGGGCAGTTCAAGCAAAGTCCGAAACTGTTTATTTAAATAAACAGTTTTTGCTTTTTCTATAAAGAAAGAAATCGCTTGCCTAAGGATATATTCAACCTGAAAAACTGCGTCTGATTGATAGCTTTTTAATTTTTGTTAGAAAGGCGGCGTTTCCGTTACTGCAGATCTGTTTCGCAGTTACTGTCTTCAATATTGCTGTTGTCTGATAAAATTTAGTTTTTTAGTTATTTTAGAGATACTGTTTATTACGCTCGAGATGTTTGGCACAAAAAAGTCGTTTGATACCATGGGGTGTCTCAAAGAGTGGCCAGGGTCTTTAAAGCAACCGCAAATTGCGGTTTCTAACCCAATCGCGCAACAATTTCGTGCAGCGTTGCCTACAGGGGGTGCATTTTTTCGATAAAATTTGCAAAGAGCTAACTTATTGATAAAAAAGTAAAGAAAGAAAAAGGCGTAACTCCTATGAAAACAGAGCGAAGCCACGCGTCTTCAAACCATAGGGCGCCCTATGCTTTGAAGACCGGTGATTTCGCTGCGTTTCCATAGGAGTTAAGCCTTTTTTTTATTTTTATTTTACTTTTTTTGTGGTAAGTTTATTCTTGGCATATTTTATAGAAACAATTAATGCACCTCCTGTGTGCAAATCATCACCTATTGAAAATTCTTTTTTTTTTTTGTGAAACATTTAACAATGAGCTTCGTCGGCAGTGTGCCTTCCTCCTCCGCATTTCCTAAAAGGTCTGTCACAGTTCAGTGCGTATATTCTAGTGAGTCAGCAGCCGAAGTTCATTATTTTTATAAAAAACCGACTATAGCTGCAGCTTCTCAAGAAGAACAGGATCAGCCATACGTCTCAGAAATACGTCACTCTTGCACCGCAAGAGTTAGTTGCATGTATTGTGCTTCAAATAGTCTCAGTCTGCAATGAAGGGGATGATTCTGAAAGTGAGGGTTTCTAGTAGACGACGGTTCCGACAGGGCGGTGCACGAAGTGTCCACCTCGGCTCTGATGCACAGAACTGTGGGAACCGGTCACAACTGGAGCGCGTATCAAGCCGTTCGTTTCCTTCGATGAAGTTTACAATGCCAAAAAGAACGTCTTGCGAATTACACCAGACGATCAGGGACCGCCAGGTCTCGTAAGAAGAGACACAACCGTGCGCGTACATTGTGTGTCGGTGTTGTGTTTCGGTGCGAGCGGCAAGAACGTTGGCCCTCGGATCAGACTGCTTATGGCAAGAGCGACTACGCGTTGCATCATCTGCATCATGCCGAAATATCACGGAGGCTGATTACGTCAGCCGCGCCTTCGCCCCGAACACCAACATTTGGAATCTGGGAAAAGCTCCTCTCTCTCCGCTTGCCTTGTCACCCTCAGAGGATTGAATAACGAGGGTTCATAGCTCGAGAATGCCGAATTTAGGTAAAGGTGGGATAAAATTAGACGCTGTAAAAAATGCGACACTTTGGGTATAGCGCCATGCATCTCCTGGGTAAGCAATCATAGTGTGTTCAAACTTCTCATACAGGGAGCCGCGGCCCGTACACTTCGCATCTGTAAATATTAAGAGCTATAGGCCAAAGTATTCCGGAGAAAAGAAATGCAGAGTTGAGGTTGACGTGTGTAATCCTCGCAAAGTAGCGCAAAACTCTGCGTCAGGTTTCGCTTCAAGACGTGCACCCCGGTTAGCAGTGACTATTCTGCAATGGTAAGTTTTAATTTTATTGGTATGTATGCTTTATTAGCTTCATGTAAACCGAACTTGAGCAATTTGTGTTTTTTTGTTTTTCAAGAAATATCTTTTTACGTAACAAAATACGCGCGGGACAAAACTTGACACTGTGGCATTCTATGTCACGCATGTGAATAACACACGAGTCTCCTGGCTGCTATGCAGCCATATTATTTTTTACCGCTTATTACCCATTAAAATATAACCCTTCTGAAATGCATTCTACAAATAACGTATACCAATTTTGCAGGCTGGTCCTATTTGGAACAACGTATTGAGAATTCAGAGAAAGAAAAGCACCGTCCGAGAAAACGCCCACAAATACCTGTTCTCAATACCACCGTTAAGTTTCCAATTTGATCAAAACTATACATATAGATCTTCAGCTATGTACAAAACAGGCGTGTTGATAACAATATTCACCATACGGAAGGAAACAAATAAAAGCAGACGGACAACAACAATTCTTTAGTTGAATGCTTCAAATCGTGCTTATAATGTCATGCAGGCCACACAGTGGGACATGTGCAGTTTTAATGTTTTTGAAATACAATATATTTAAGGACGACTTGTAGAATGCAAAAACTCGCTAGCAAACGCGCTTGTTTATGAAAAATAGTGTACAGAAATGTATCGATTATGTGATGAAATAGATACAGGACCATTTCTAATAACCTTTTAGAAATAGTGACTTGCGCCATTAATTCAATGAAGTTAGTTTAATTACAAACAAGCTTGAACCCTACAGAACAAAGGCATTTTCCCTAAACAAAAGAAAGCAGTGCACAAAAAAGACATAGGTCGTATCGTTCGAGGCACAGCAGCCGCGGCTTGGAGTCGTCTCACGCGAAGCGAGTTCTGTGTTCGGCAACCTGCTGGGGGGTTGATGCCGGTTGTCAGGCAGTCTCACTGCTACCGGTAAACTCCGCTCCGGCTGGTGACAGCTTTCAAGGCCATCGCCGGGAAACACGATGAGTGGACTCTGCGGTGTCGGGGCAGGAATGTGGGCTGGACACATTGCGACCTGCAGCCACACGTTTTTACGACAGGTTCCAGTTATTCCGGTCTGATACAAGTAAATGGACTCCCGTTCCCAGGACGTATCACAATCTTTACTCGAGAGAGTAATTCGAAGCATCTCCGCCCATTGACAGCATGAACACCTTCGTGAGTACGCAGCTAGTGTGCTGCGATTTTTGGGGTTTTAAAAAAGCATATGCAGCCAACGAACACCCTCATTAGCGCTGAAAGATAAATTTTATGTGTAAAGAAAAAAAAAAGAAAGATCAGTTAAATGAAACCGTAAATTTGCTTAGAAGTGCGAGCGTTCTGGTTTTATTATTGCTTGCCTATTTATATGAATAATCTTGAGGCACGTCTGCGAGACATACTTCAAAGAGAAACTGTACTGCTGTTCGCTGCCCGTTATTCTAGTTGTTTTCAGCTAGAGTTCGGTTATTACATATCGGAACTCTGAAAATTAGCATAAGTATTATCAAACGCAAGTTTAAAAAATGTTAATCAGAATTAGTGCGTTGTATGTTCCTCATCATATATACAGTGTCATCGCCTAGTCGCAAGTGAATGTTGGTAACCTCTGATGGATTAACGTTATTAACTGGCAGCAATAGGTAAGAATTTTATTCTAGGCGTGTGCTGAGCACTTTTGTCTACTCCGCTCGTTCCTAACACATAGTACGCCGGAGTTAGGTTTGGACGGGCGCTCGGAATACTGGGCTCAAGTATGGCCTTTATGGATTTCTTTCTCTAGCCTCATACATAATGGTGTTTCGTCCTGTCCTTGCATGCCGCTTTTGTGCCCTGCATTGTCCTGCTGGCCGCGTGCTGCCAAGCCGGCTACGTGGCACCCTATGCCTACCATGCCGCCGCCGTCCACGTCCCCGTGGCCACCACCGTGGTGCGTCAGCCGGTGGTGGAGCACCACAGCGAGGTGGCCTACGTGCCGCCCTATGCCCATGGTTACACCATCAGCCAGTAGAAGCTCGTCCACCCTAAGACCACCGTCACCAAGCACGATCCCTTCTTGGGTTACGTTTTCTTTGCTTCCTTGAAAAACAGGGATCGCCTCAGATTAAGTGCTTTTGGGATAATTAGTTGATAGTTCAATAAAGCTAGACCTTAATATAAAATAACGTTATGAGCTGCCGTAACATTTCTATTGGTGAAGTTGTTATAGCACTAGAGCAGTGTTTAAATTACGTCCTTTTAGCATCTTGCAAAGTTACTTAGCAGCCAGCAGACGACCGAATTTGAACAAACCTAAGTCGCTTCAAAGCTGCATCAAGTGCCTCTTTGAGCTCCTAATCGAACATGTTATATAGAAAAGAAAGACAGGCATTACTGGAATAGAGTTATTAATATAATGATATTGTTACAGCATAATTAAGATTACTGTTCCAATAATATAAAGCCAACCTCATTCTAGATGTCGGACATAATAGCACATGAGATGAGATTGTTTTTTATTCTCATAGACGACTGATTTCTTCGCAAGACTTACATACGTAAATGTATTTTCTATCCGCAGCACCTACCACCAGGCCGAGGTGCACCACGCTCCAGTGGTGACTGGCTCTCACAGTTCCGTGCACCAGAGCCGAGGCGGACACTTCGTACACCGCCCAGTGGACACCGTAGTCTACTAGGAATTTCCTCCCCTACTATAAATATAACCATTTTCATACCATACCCATTCAGAATTGTCGGACAAGAAATGCAACTCACTCTTGGAGTGTACGAGTTATGTACCAGACAAACATGCCCTTCTAGAGAAGCCACTGCGTTAGCCGGTTGTGAAACACGATGTTGGGATTCGATATCTACTAAATAATATATGAAGACACTACATCGACTGTTATTTTCAGAAATACATTGTAGTAAGAATTTCGAGCAAGCACTATGGTCTTGCTGTTTATTTAGAAATAAAGTAGCATAGTCATGGGCCAATACCGCAGCTGTAAGATTTACCACGTAAAGCGTTTAAAAATTTTGACTATAAGAATAATTATTGATCAAGTACAACCGGCGTGGAAAGGCTTTTCAGTTATGGAATATGATTGGCAGTATGTATCGATAGAGCAGCAATAATTTGAAGCACAGTACTTATTAGAAACTGTACTGTAAAATTCAATATCTAGAAGCACGAACGGACTATCGAAGACTACCTCTCGAACACAACTTAGAAAAACTATCTATTAAGAACTATTTTGAAATGTTCTCAGGGCTGCGTCGTTAGGAAACCTGTAACTAGTATTTAGCACGTTCCGGAAAAAAGAACAAGCAAACACCTGTGACAGAAGTAGGGACACATTTTGCTAGGGTGGTCCGAACTTCTAATTAAATAAAATGCTTGTTCTAAAAGCATATTTCGATAAATTATTTTATTAATATAAGCGACTTCATCTTTTCACAGAAAAATAACGTATTGCGTTAACAGTGTTACTCCTATTGCGGAACCTTTTTTTTTTGCGTTTTCAACGGATGTACAACCGACACAGTGTTTGTAATTCAGGGTTCAGACCATAAAAAATCGTCCTATTGTCACAAAGGAGGAATGATGAGGTAGCAAATTAACTGAGAAATTAAACGTTTAACGGGGCAAACTTGTGCCCGAACACGAACTTGAAAAAAGCCTAGCGTCTCAGGCGTCGATGGCGGCGAAACAGCAGGGTCGAACGCTGGGGCGACACTGACTCCGGATCGCAATGCGGAGTCCCAATTATGGTGCTCACGTGGATTTCTGCAATATTCGACGTAGAACGTTCGGTGCGCAGAGCAATTGTTTCTCGATAAGACGACAAGGTTCTCGAACTTATGATAACGCTAAATTGAAAGAATAAAACACAGACGAGCCGCTCAAAGGAACCGAACCCGTAGCTTCCGCACGAAAGCCAAGCACAGAAACCACACGGCCGCGCACGCGCTCGCGCAGCGACGCGCGTGGCACGATGAGATTAAACATGTGTATAGCCTTTAGATCTGTCCTTTTAACATTACCCTTTCATTTTAAATTGTGAAAGAAGACATCCAAGTAAGCTACATTTGAGATAATCCTATTTTATTATTTCATTGTAAAGCCTCTTCAGACCGAAAAAGCAACTAATTCGGGCGATTTGCTTCAAAATTGAAGAGTTTGCTTTTGATCACACAAAAAAAAAAAGGACGAACGAAATATTTATTTCAAACAAAGAAGGAAAGTTGAGTAACGCGGACGTCCCCGATTGGGTCCTGCGTATGGAAAAAAAAAATCAGATTCCGGAGGCAAAGGAATACGGAACGCTTCAGACACTTTACCCTTGATCTGCCAGCGCTACCTGGATTCCTGAACCTCCTATGTGATCAAAGAGCTTGGTGCCCAGGGAAAGGTCTTGACATGTCGTCTCTAACATCATCTGGGGGAAGAGGGATTATTTTGGTCCTCTGCCGCCCAACTGGCCCAGTCTCTCCTTCATCGCTCTCCCCTTCCTGCTCTCTCAACCTCTTGGATCCCCGTGTTTCAGCTTGAATAAGTGCTATCGCAATGCTTATACTGAAGTCAAGAAGATCCAGTCTTTGCTGTTTTGGAACGACTGCTGGTTCACAGTCTTTCTTGTACTCAATCTAGCCGTTAGATCAGGCCATGACCAAACACTGTTGGGAGACATGGACAGGCCATTTCTTCGTTCGCAAAGGGATTCGAGAGTAGGAGACGAACCTGCCAATTACATTCACTTTGCCCACTGAACATGTGGTGCTTTGCGGATTCGTGTGTTCGCTTCACTTTATTTTTCTTCTACTCACACTTGGACCACCTCTCGCAACTTGCTTCGGGCTCTTTGCCAAATGCTGAGTGAAGAGAGAGGAGCATATGGCAGATTTCTTGTCTTTCCACTTCACAACGCACAATTATCTGTCACATCTCACTTTACACTTCGACTCACCGCGCGGCATTGGCTGGACCTGCGGCATTGTCGCCCCAACTTCACTAGTACGGTTGGCCATCATTGTGCTGGTGAAACTTCGTTTTTCAATGAGATGCATGCTTATCTATTTGCAGGTGCATAACATACCTGTCAGTGAACAACAGGCAAATTCTCGCTCCCTACTTAGCGTTTCCGCAAGCTTCTTGATAGTGCTTCCCCCAAGACCTAACTCTCTCATATCAGAATCAGAAAGTGTGCCTTTGCCAACATAACTTGTGAGGTTCACAACCAAGCCATCTGGAGACGGAATTGGAAAATATTTAAGGCTAACAGGATTTGGCTTAGAAAGCACCCGCTGCCGCACAGGAAATCTCTCTGAAAACGGTATCATATGCTCGTCATTTGATGCATCACGAGATAGCCGCAGCTCCAAGCACTCATTCCTAAACAATTTGATGATCGGCATTACTAGAAAGAGCCTGTTTTTTTTTCTTCCTTTTTCGTTACTGACGCTTTGCCAGCAAAGTGAAGGTTGCGTCTCAGTTCAAAAACAAAACTCTTTCTAGACGTTGCTTGAGAAATTAAATCTACACTGAGCATCTGCGATAAGTACAGCCGCACACTTGAAAGCTTTGGTATGCCCATGGCAATGCAGATACCAACAAACAACTTCCACTCTTTTGAATAGGTTTAAATTTACCTTCCTACTATTTCCTGAATGGAATAGAGATTTGTCTGGTAGGCTCATTCTTCCCAGAAGTCCTCTTGAAGATATCTGAGAAAATATTTCCATGGTGTGTCTGGCTCCTGGCGCGTCTGGTTGCTCGATACTTCATCCTCTTCGAGGGTTCTTCGACATTTAGTTCACTTGATGTACCCATAAATAAAACAATATACATACGCTCTGCTCCTGCATCGGGGCAGAGCTTTTGCTTGTGGGCCTTTGGTCATTTCGGTCGTCTCGGCTGTCGTCACTCTCCTCACTCTCAGGTTTTCTATTACAACTGCCGTTCAGATCATTATAAAAGGACTGAGTGTCCTCCGAATATGACAGGTCAGAGTCATGTTTTAGCAAGGACTAAATTTATTTGTTAGCCAGGTACTTGGCTGAAAGCAATTTTCGGTACTTAGGACCTACAGTAGGTGATTGCGAACACCAAAATCAAACGGCGGTTAATCGTAAATATAGAGCGACTTTCAAATTAAACTTTTCTCAAATTGTTTGCTGACCATTCAGAAAGACGGCAACACTTTGGAAGTAACGTTCTAGTGCCTGTAGCTTGAAAAAAAAATACAGAGCAGCGGCCCAGCTGTTCTGTGAATTGTGCTCTGTCGTGAATTCTACCATGGTTTCAATGCCGCGAAGGAAACTACGTAGGTGAGAATTTGCGTGAAATTTGGTTAGACGCAATCGGGCATTCGGCTCCTATAAAGTTAGTCCTTGGAGGCACAATGCTTCCCTCATTGTGCCTCCAAGGGCAAGCTTTCAAGTTTTGCAGTGTGCCTGACTTACCAAAGCGAATATTTTTACGTCGCGTTTTCATAGTGCGTCATGACGATCAATCACCTTGCTCGCGTATGCCATGGGATAAAAAAAAATAAGAACAGTATAGCTACAAGGAGTGCATATTTAATTTTTTTTTCAGATTTTCCTCTCTTTTATTGCGCACATTGATAGACACTGATATACGCTTGTATTTGACCGTGTCTTGTGCATCATGGAACTACAGAACATCGCTTTCATGGTCGTGTCTTATGAGCAATGCAGTAAGTTTTGGACGGGGCATGTATAGCAGACGAACGGAGGAGAAAATGGACGCTGACGCGCAGCTTTCGTGTCTGCGTCTCACTGCATTGCATACGACGATAGTCGGCGGTGGAATAATAGACGATGCCGGAAGCTGCCGCTCGTGTCTCGCACGACTAGGTGGCCTTGTTGGACTTCCAGACTGGACGCACCTGAAGACGCGATAGGGAGACACTAAGCTTGTCAGTCACTAAGGACCAGCACCCAAGCCAGTCGAGTAGTAATGGGGGAGGCCACTTATCTGTTTGCGGGGCTTAGAGCTGGCTGTGACCTCCACCTAAATTTTGTCTAACGGCGTAAATATTGAGCGAACGAAAATGTTTCTTTTTCTCGCGAAAGAAGTATATAAAAAAAATGCTTCTCTCATTTGTGTCTTAAAACATATTTTTTTCTTGCAGTGCCTCTATAAGCCATTGACTCGTAAGTGTGATGTCATGGGTCCAAACAATCCGTTGGTTGGGTAGTTGTTATGGACAAACACATGTGGCTAGGTGACCGGCTCCCACAGTTCTGTGCATCTAAGCCGAGGTGGACACTCCGTGTCCACCTCGGCTGTGATAATTTGTCATTCCATGAAATGGAATGACAAATTATTTTTCAAACACTAGAAGGCATAGTCATATTCAGAACGTTTCTCGCCGACTTCCACGTGACCAGTTGATATTCCGACCCCCTAAAGAAAAGTGAAATTCAGTTGCGACTAACCTAAAAAGTAAATAAAGGTTATTTGGTCAAGCTTTTAAGTTACAATATTGACTACGCACTTGTATAATTATTTTGGAAGATGACGATTTGCTCCTAAAGTGTTTGAGCCGGGGTAATTTTTTTGCGTTTGGCATTTGAGAAAGAGAACCTTTTAGCATCAGAAATTCTAGATAAATGTTTTGTTGTTAAGTTTTGACGAGGCAAACTATTTATCTGTCGTTTAACGAATCCCTAATAAACCAAAAGCTATAGACACCTATTTTAACATGCCTATGCTTCAGAATTATTCGAGCAAGATGGCGAGGCAGCAAGTTGGTGCATGATACAACTGGTACAATAAAAAAGACAAAGAAGGTGTAGACGGGACATGCACAGGTCTTTAACTGATTATTTATTCAGTTTTTATAATGATAATCTTGCATTAAATTTTATTCGTTGTCCTGCGCTTTTTTCGTCAACACCTTCCTCGTCATTGTAATATCTGCGCTGTTTCCCGTTGTACCGTTGGAGCAAGTTATTATAGTAAACCAACAAAACACTTGTATTTTAATAGTTTTTTGTTCGAACTCATCAAGGATTCTGTTGTAAAATGTCATCTGAATCTCGTTGTCGACCTTTTCACATTTATACTGGCGCACATAATATTAAGAACGATATGGACTGATGTTTTTGGATTTCTTGGGAGGATTTATGTTGTGAACCCTGACTTGTTATTCTATAAATTTAGCTCACATTTACTTGACAGCAGAGCTTTGGCTTAGCCAAATGACTCTATAAGGAAACTAAACCATGTGTTGAAATAAATGGGGAAATATTTGGCTATTTAAGTGTCACTTCTGGTGTTTCCGGAGTTCAACTCTGAGTTTTTTCTCTTCTTGTTTATAAAAACACTATGATTAATACCTCAATTCTAGATATGGCACTATTCTAGATATGGCACTATTCTCAGACAACAGCTTTAGATATGAATTAAATATCCAATATATAATATTTTTGCATGTTTATATAGAAAATATTTCTGTATTTTGTGAACAATAGAGAAATGAACTTTAGTGTTTATAATGCATACATGTTAGATTTACTAAAATCAGGAAATCCAGACAATTTACTATTGGCACGAAAAGTTGAATGACCTTTTTAGGTGATCAATCTCAAGACTCTTGATATGTCTAATTTCATATAAAACATTTTGCCAACACATCAAGCCTATCAGCAGAATCTCAATCTCTCGAGCCTACTACGACTGTTTTACAAAATATAAGATTTCCCCGGTATTGAAGTTGATTCTAGCGCCCCGTTTTAAGGTTAAGAAAAAAGTGCAGCTGACCCCTGGAGTGCACCTGTGTCGTATTTTCATTTTTTGCGGAACCTGGTGTAGTCAAAATATGGAAGCTGTCTGCGTATATTTTATGCTTTCAAATCGTCAGAGGAGTAGTTTTGTTCCCTTTGATATTGTCTGGCTCGTTCTGTTTTGACGTTTAATACGTTTACGTGTATTTCTGTCGGATATTAGAGATTTTGTTTTATGCCACTTTGACCTTTGACTCTCGGATAAGCTTGAACCCTTCAAGTTTGTGTTTCTTTGCATGTGCTTCTTTGCATGTGCTACTGAATTGAGATATGTAGCTTTGTAATTGCTTTACTTTTCTTTTTGTTTTGTAAATATCTTTTTTTGTAATTATGTTCGCGCTCGTGCCCTTAGCGGGTCCGACGTGAAATCGCGCGCAATCCCCCTTTCTCTCCTACCTCCGCGCATGACATCCGCAAGGCAAATAAACGAACCAAAAATCGTAAAGAAAACATTGTACTTTTATCTTCCAAACATTAAATATGCACCAATTGTCGAGAATGCACACCACAAGTATTTAGATTCGGAGTTCCCATAAAGTGCTGTCAGCACGAATGTCTTCCGATAATGATAATGATACAGTGATAAAAAAACATGATCTAGGGTAACATTTCAGATACGATTATTTATGAAGTGATAAGTATATCAGCAAAAGCGTGCAATACAAGCAAAGTCGCACACTGTTTTTTCTAAACCTTATGTCTTTCTTTTTCTTTTTTTGTATAAGGAAATAAATAGGTGGCCTAAGAATATATTCGGCCTAAAGAACTGGGTTTTTTTCGACAGTGTTTTTTTTCTGTTTTTAAATTTGTGGTAGAAAGACGATGCTTTCTATACAACCGTTGTGTTTGGTGGTTACTGCCTTTTGATATTGCAGTTGTTGAACAGAAACTGCGTTTTTTTAGTTGTTTCGGAGACAATGTTTCTTATATTCGACTGTTTAAAAAGTAAAAAAAGTCAATTCATGCTAGTCGTGTGCGAATCATAATGAGATTTCTAGTTTTGTTTTATTAATCTTCTTTGGGAATGAACCTAACATCTCATTAATGTCTCGTTGGATTGCAGGTTTTTTTTTTCTAAATTAATAACATTACACAAGTTTCTTCGGCAGTGTGCCTTCCTCCTCCTCATTACCCCAAATGTCAGTCGCACCCCATTCCCAAAACTATAGTGAGTCACCAGCCGAATATTATTTTTATCAATAACCGACAAATACTGGTGCTTCTCAAGAAGAAGATGATCAGCCATACGTCTCAGAAATACGTCACTCCTGCTAGAGTTAGTTGCATTTATTGCGCTTCAAATAGTCTCAGTATGGAATGAAGGGGGTGATTCTGAAATGGAAGAGTTTCTAGTAGACGACGGTGCCGACAGGGCGGTGCACGAAGTGCCCACCTCGGCTCTGGTGCACGGAACTCTGAGAGCCGGTCACCACTGGAGCGTGGTGCACCTCGGCCTGGTGGTAGGTGCTGCGGATACAAAATACATTTTAACATGTTAGTATCAAGACAAACTCAGTCATCGATGAGAACAGCACTCTGATGTCATGAGCTATAATGTCGAACCTGCGAAGCTAGGTAAGGTTCAAACTATAAAACCACAATTGTGTTTGAATGACGTTATTAGATACTATTTTTGGTAAATAGACCATAATCATTCATCTTTTTTCTGCCAGTTTCCCATACCCAAAAGTGAGCACACCGTTCCAGAGGCTTCAGCTTCAGATAACGAAGGTTTAAAAGAGCGCATTGCTATACTGGCGCTGCTCATTAAGTTTGTAAGACGTCGAGATTGCGGTGTGCATACATTAATGTTGTAAGTAATACTGTGATATTGACACGCGTCGTGTTGTTTTAATTCCGGCGGCTTAGGATTTTCGATCCCACTTTACGCGCAAAGCATAAGCGCGAACATTTTTTTTGGCAGTGTTATCAAGGTGCCGCTCGCGGTCTTCTCTAAAAGTTCGACTTCTTGTTGAAAATGTAGGAGCCGGGAGTCGACCGGCCATTCCTGTCGTCGCCGACCATCGACCACTCTCACCTGCCTTGCTGCCGCCGTATTCCTCGTGTAATTTTCGTAGGGCACAGGTTCTCCCAAATAAAACCACCCTTTAACTCTGTTCCTGCAAGTTGTTTCTGAGGCTTCCTCACGTTACAATTCAACAAACAAAACATGCGGTGGGAGGTATTAAAGTTGCTTGAGAATTCGAGTATATTTTTTATCGCCCTAACGAGTAATCGCAAAAGCACTAATTCTCAAACAGTCCTTGACTTCTAAGGTAGCGGCGAGAACTCACCCGAAGAAGGGGTCATGCTTGGTGACGGTGGTCTTGGGGTGGACGACCTTCTTTTGGCTGATGGTGTATCCGTGTGCGTGTGGTGGAACGTAGGCCACGTCGCTGTGGTGCACCACCACCGGTTGACGCACTACCGTCGTGGCCACGGGGACATGGATGGCGGCGGCGTGGTAGACGTGTGGGGCCACGTAGCCGGCCTGGCAGCAGGTGGCGAGCAGGACCAGACAGGGCACAAGGGCGGCCTTCAAGGACATGGTCAATGTGGTTTTAGTTCCGATAGTTTAGGTGTAAACGTGCGGACGCCGTGTTTGACAGGACTGCTCAGCAAGTATGCGCAAACCAGCTTTTTCCTCGTTGTCTGCCATGATGAAAACACCTTTCAGGTGCGGAGTGAACGCTACAGAAGTGGTGTGAACGCCTACATTAAACATGTCGTTGGCAGAAACGGACTCAGCAATGGACGACAGTAAATATCAGCTATTAAAAAAAAAGACTAGACAATATACAAGTCAGTGTTTTACACAAGCATCTAGCCCATAAATTCTTAAGAACCTTAGCTTTTAAAAACTCTATACGGAGCTCTAGAGGCAAGTATTGGAGGCTTGAAAAAGAAGAGCATGGCTTGAATTGAAAATCTATGCTGTCTGAATAACAGGTAGAAATTTGTCGTATGATTCCTCTTGGTTCATGGCTTAGAAGATACGATCGGCTAACATTATTTACTCAAATAGTTTAGATTAAAATCAACCGGAGCCTTGTAACTTATGCCGTAAGCTTGCCTATAAACTTGGAGGGAATCCACGCCTTTTTGACAAATCATTTAAACAATTTTGCGTCACCCATTTTTCATCTCTCTGCATTAAATGAGGTGTCAATTAATTTCTCTTTTAAATCCACAAAATTGGAAAGCGCACAAAGTGTACTCACGAAGGTGTTCATGTTGTATAGGGACGGGGATGCTTCGAGTTACCTGCTCGTTTCAAGACTGTGTTGACAGGGATATCACAGGCGTCTTTTTATGGACGGCTACGAGGAAATAGTGAAAGGAGTCGTAAACACGTTTTCTCGACAAGTGCTGTGCGCCCCACCCAAAATATTTTGGCAACATCGTCAAGACTACTCCTTGCGTTATCTCCCTTGACAGCGGTCAGCGTACTTAGTGAGGTTTACCGGCAACATCGAGATTCGCGCACTGACGGCATCTCATCAGCGAGCTGCGCACGGGATATGCTACGTGTGGGACGACTGAATTCCACTTTAGGTACACCTTGAAACGTAAACACACTGCCTTTCCTCACTTTTTTTTGTGTATTTGAGATTACAGTTTTGCTGAGAGCTAATTTGCACATAACATTACAGCGTTTAGTAGCTTCTACTAATCAAGTGTGGGCCTCGTGTTTAGTTTTCGGAGCTTGTTCTAGACGCTCTGTGGCAGACAACGGCGCTAACATTAATGATCTGCCTTCTGGTAATTTTGTTGGTTGTTTTAAATCTTATCTCAAAGGGGACTCTATTATCCTAGGAAACAAACATGTGCGTCTACCATCGCGGGGAAAGCCGACATGTCTTTAAGAAACAGGTCCTCATTAGCTGATAAAAATATACTGTTACGCTTATTTGAAAGTTACGATTGCTCTACCACTTCTGTTGATGAGTCCTTCAGCCTTTTGGTTACTTACTTTTAAAACTATACATATTCATGCAAAAACCCGTTTAATTAACTTTTTTTTTAATTTGCTCTACGTCTTTCCGGGTATTTTTTGCCAATACCGCACACTAAAATCTATTGGACACATCAGATGGCAATGCACTACGACAGTAATAATTTTTATGCACAGGGCTTGTTTTACATATTTTAGTTGCGTGTGCCTCGAGGAAAGGAATTAGTGTACATTGAGTTTAAAGGGACCGTGCGCTCGCTTGATAATATTTGTCATGAGCGTCTTTGCCTTATTTTATACTTATAATTTAGTGTGTCGTACCTCGTGTCTGTCAAATGCTAACAAATTACACCTTCTCTAAAAAAAAGGCGCTTCGCACCATACTCAATGTTCCTTTCATTATGTCTAATAACTGTCCGGAACCTATATGACTATCCTCTACTAAAACGATATAGATCTTCCCTCCGTTCTAAAGAGCCTTTCCGTAGACATATTTCAAGCCTAACACCAAATATCCGGGTATATAACGTTCGTGAGGGGGAGCATTGGAAAATACCAACAAATCGTACAAATGACGTGTTCCAAATGCTAAAGTATAATCTTCCATTTCTTCTAAATAATCTTCAGAAGCATGATTCGACAAATATCGAGAGACTGAATCTTAGCGATATGTGACAGGGCAACAGCAGCCCATACAGATGTCCAATGGGGCGCTAAGTCCGGAAGTGCCTCGTGGCGCTGGAATTCCGATTTCGAACACGGTAGCGCGCGCACGTGGAATGGAACGCTCCGCTGGGAGTGCGATGACGGCGGCTCCGAGCCGCGGTGATGCCGTGCGCGGCGATGTTCCAAATGACTACGCAGTGATACTGCCTACTCTGCCGACAGGAGAAGCCATGAAATGCAGCCATGTGCTGCATGCTGATACCCGGGGGCGGCCGTACCGTGCTGAAGACTTCGTACGGCCTCTGAACCATGTGGGAGTTCGAGCAGACGTAGCAGCACTTGGCGCGTTTCAAATGGGGCACGTCCGGCTGCTGAAGCTACACACTACCTCCGCCAAAAAGAAGCTTCTGCGAGAGGGGACCATGCTGGTGAAGGGGCGACCATGCCTGGTAATTGATCCAGAAAAACAAAAGCTGAAGGTCAAAGTCCATTGGGTGGCATTCGACGTTTCTGCTGACGCCCTTCGACGGGCCTTCGAGCCATACGGGGAGGTCCTTGCAGACGTAGATTTCACTACTGTCATCGTACGCATTGTGCTCTGTGAAGACTTAACCCGGGAGTCCCTGCCGCAGCAGCTGCGCTTTACGGAGGTACGCTACTGGTTGTTGTTCCCGGGCGCGCAACGGTGTGCCTCCCCTGTCGACGCACGAGAGACATGCGGCGCGACGGTAGAGTGCCGAGATGTGAGGAGTGTCGAGCCTTCGGGCATGAAGCCTCGGATTGCCTACGGTCGTACGCTCGAGCTGCTGCCAGCAAGACCATCGACAGCCAGAACAGAAACCTCGTAATGGATCAGGAAGAGGCCGAGGCGGCGGCGACTCCAACCGCGAGGATTTCTTCACAAGACCCTCAGGCGTCCGGTGAGCAGCCACGCGCGCCGTTAGCGATGCCAGAAGGCCAGGTCTCCGCCGTAACATTGACGGCAGAAAGCACTGTTAGCGAAAATGAGCCTAATGCAGAGTCCCACAGTGAGACGACACCAAGTGCGAAGGACGCGACTGACGCACTGGACGCCGGAGATGAAACAGCCATGGACTTCGCGGCTGAGGCGGTTAAGCGGCGGCTCAGCGACCCGGAGGAGGGAACCGGCCAGTCGCTCCAGCAGACTGAGAGTCCATGGTTGGTAGTGACGAGGAAGAGGGGACGACGCGCTGGCCGAAGCCGTTCTTCGTCTCTTCCCAGGTAGAGCGAGAGCGGAACAGTTCCGGTTGAAACAGGGTTGGACGAAAAGCGCATATTTGTTCCTTGGACTGAGAACTGTATCTTGCGCAAAATGCGGTACGCTGACGTAGATGCTTGACCAGTGTGTCACTATTTTACTCAGGGCATTATTCAGATGAGAGAACTGTATAAGGTTTCGGGAGATGGGCCTGATTGGTTGCCAATCCTATAGACGGACTGGTCACATTAAGGCCATGTTAATCAGTCGGCGTCAGTCGTAATTCAGCTTTCCCTCTTTTTATAAGTGTTTCTGAAAGTGTATTTTTTGAGAATAAATAGTGCCTGGCAATAAAGAAAAAAAAGTGCCTCGTGGCGCTGTCGATAGAGTGCTCGTGGTCGGCGGTTCGAATCGCGTTGTGGACAGCACTTTTCTTTTTACTCTATTTTTTTTTAAATTTTAGGTCGCACACGCTTCTCACTGTCCCCACCACATGCAACACAGGACAGGCCCCCTGACTCTTGCCGGCCGCACTACAGTGACGGGCCCCCTCACCGTAGTGAGTGCCAATTGAAAATGTAGAGCGGCAGACAACGGATAAGAGGAGAGCCATGTGACGGGCACCCCGCTGCGGCGAGACGCCGAAACACGTTTCTCCTGAGTGGTGTATTGTGCGCTCGTGCTCCTAGCGTTCCTCGCGCTACCGGTTCTTTTCTTCTCGGGTTTGAAAAGCATGTTTCGGGTCCTCGCCGCTGCAAAAGTTGTGCGCTGACGTCCAGGTTCCCCGGGAAACTCTCTGTGCTACCAGACCTTCGCGCTCATAATCTGCGACTCCGCACTCTATGACCCATCGTCGAACTACCAGGATTTGTGAGTCTAGAGGGGGCTATGGTCGGCGTTGATGGGCACTAGCAGAGAGGGCGTGCCCACCGCCGGCCGGTGAGTACCGAAGGCCGGCCAAAGCGCGTGAAATGGAATACACAGTTTTAAACAAATCTGCACGTAAAGTGCATGCTAGCGTTTTCTCGGTCGTCCGCTACACATATCTCTTTTGTTCTGAACGCTTTTCTTCACGCACCCCAAGGTGTTTGAACCGCTTATGGCCTGAATGTCCAACGAGACTGAATGTCCAACGAGCCTGAATGTCCAATCGGTCACGTGACAGGCGAGACGGAGTGTACAACGAGACGAAAGATCCAATCGAGACGGAATGTCCACCGAGTCTGAATGTCCAACGAGACGAAAGGTCCAATCGAGACAGAATGTCCAACGTGCCTGGATGTCCAACGAGACGAAAGATCCAACCGAGACGGAATGTCCAACGAGCGTGAATGTCCAACGAGTCTGAATATCCAACGGATATAGAATGAACCTTGCAAAGAATTTAGAAGACATTTCTTTGTTGAATTGTAGGATTACTGATATTTACGGCGGTGAAAAATTATTATCGGCATGCGATCATTTCGGTATGTGGCCGCTTCGGCACGGGGCTTTTCAGTACCGGGATTTTTGATGCACGGCTGTTTTGGTGTGCCACTGAGCTTGTCCCTCTGACGTTGCCACCGTGACGTCCCCAAAATGAAATTAAAATTACAATCGTGTATTTTGTACACTTCATAAAACCCCCAAAACAGTATACTTATTGTTCGTTTTATATATCTAAATATAAAGATGATTTTTATAATATAAAAAAAAGACGTTTAGAAGGTCACACATGCTACAAGATAAAAGACCGAACTCATTGACCATTGACAATCTGTCACGCGTTTGATTCTAGAAGGGTGATTCCTCTGGAGCGGAAACAAATGTGGGACCCACGAGAGTTCTTAGAATCGTTAATCGTGCTTATCCTCAGCCACAGTTTTTCCGTATTGTACGAGTTGCTGTATTTTTCTTCTTTGTGTGCCTAGTCCCGCAAAGATGATGTCCTTCGCATGGGAGAAAAACGCCTGATTGAATTTTTAGTATTATCATTATTGTTATGTGAAGTCGGTGTAGTATGTGTAATTACACTAAATTGTAGTTTTTGTTCTTTTCTTTTTTTACAAAACGAACGTGAAAGTTTTAGATATTTCCGATTGGACTTATAGGTCCCCAGAAACAAAAATTCGATCCTCATATTAAAATCAGTGATAGAATAAAACGTTCCTTTCATTAAGCCTTTGTGCAGGTAATGTCCTCAAGTGGTACTTTTGTCCGGTGATTGTCCGGAGGATTCGGCACATTGACGCTTATCGCGACGACTAGTTTCGCATGTTTCGGCCACCAAAGCGATTGCTGTCGCAGTGAACCGTGTATTAAGCAACAGGTAGGCAATATTAATAATTAATACAATACTTTTTAAGATTGGCTTCCGTCGTTTCTGCTTTTTCTGGTCACGTGGCATGCAGCAATCGCACGGAACGCCCTCAGGTAGCATACCAAGGCTGCGATCGAATTTCAACTTGTTCTAACTATGTCACAGAGCCACTGCGACAGCGCGGCCATGATTTATTCATAGGCGCACATTACAAGTGCACATAAGACCACGGTATCAGGAAGTCAGCCCCTCGCTCGGTCTTCCCAAATTCCATAATGCTTGAGTTGCGAGTGAACATATTCACGAAGAACCCGACTTTTATGATTTTGAATAACCCGGGTACGGTTCACTATCGGACCCTTGCCAATTCTGAGAGCTGCATTTGTCATCCTCTATTTTTTTAGAAAAAAGGTCCCATTGTTGACCCCCACTGTCACCGGCAATCTACACACCCAACCCTAATCAATTCTTTTCGACAGTTCGACAAACGGGCACTTTCGCCCCATTCTTCATTCTGCGAATCGGCCTAGGGTGAATTTCCCTAATCGACGAATTGTCCTTCTTCCAGTTGTCCAGAGACCAATGGAATTTCGTCGAAGTGACCGGATTCGTGGTGCAATACGCTTCCCCTAAAAGAATAGAAAGCCACGTAGAACGATCTATTGTTATATTCACACATGATGTAGGCTATTAGTACATCCGGGTGTGAACCTTCTGCTGCACGCAGAGATAGATGCGTTCGCGTCCTTTATCAGCAGTCAAGCTCCCACCTACCAAGACGTCATGAACCACCTCGACAGAATGGCGAGCTTTCGAGTGCTTCCAGGAGCCAGTAAAATGGAGGATCTGAAGCGCGGCTTTCATAGACGTCCCCCAATTGCGATGCACTAGAACACCTGTACATTGCATCCCTATTATATATTTCAAACTGGCTGACCTGTGTCATCGGAACATTCCAAACATTTGAAATCTTAATATCAAAGAAACGTTTGGCGTCGTACAATCGACACTTTTAACCGATTGGTACATAGCGGCGCATCGGCACTCAGCTAACTAACCATTAATCCTTCCTATAGATGAAATTATAATATTTGTGTCTGCTCCGTTTCTTTGTCGGTCCGTCAACGTCGGCTTTTGTGGCACGACATTTTAGTATGATGAAACTACAGCAATGCCTGCAGGAACGCGGACTAAATATGCACACAAGTTTGTACATTTAATAAGCAAAATTATTCTAGCACGTGACAGCCGAGACGGAATGTCCAACGTGCCTGAAAGTCCAACGAGACGAAAGATCCAACCCAGGCGGAATAAAGAACGAGCCTGAATGTCCATCGAGACGAAAGATCCAAGCGAGACGGAATGTCCAACGTGCCTGAATGTCCAACGAAAAGAAAGATCCAACCGAGACGGAATAAACAACGAGTCTGAATGTCCAACGTGCCTGAATATCCATTATAGGATCTTCCGTCTCGTTGGACATTCAGGCTCGTTGGACATTCCGTCTCGTAATCTGTTTGAACGTGGCGTAAAGGCCCAAGTGCGTGGCTGTAACTTGTCGCAGTTAGTCGTAGTTATCGCTGTGACTGTACTCTAAATTATCAGTAAACTGCTCATTTCTTTTTTTTTTTTTTAGTTCCGGACCGCGTGAAAGCATGATCTCTTAAAATTGACAGTGCCACAGCGGCACCTTATTGTCTTTTTTTTTTCTTGCTTAGAGCGCGCGCAGTGGGCATCAGGTACACAAAACTTCCAAGTTTAAAGCGGATTGTGAACTCTGTACCTTAGGTCACTGGTAACGCCCCGCTTTACAGCGGACGAAGATTCGTCTCCCACGGGCGGTGGGCGATCTTTTTTAAGAATTTGGCAATATGGACGATGGACGCCCTACATCGTCAACTAAAGCAGTGCCCACTAGAACATCTGCCAACTACATCTTCAACTACAATATCAACAGAGGACGTCGTTTACAGTGGTAGGAAGAGCTCATAACGGCTGCCTTTGTAACACAATATTGGATATACATCATATTGGAACGTAACTCCTGCCCAGCAGGAGGGGTACGCATTTATTTTGCTCTCAGTTTCACTCATTGGGGTAAGCAATATGGAATTCCGGGGCTGAGGAGGGCCTAGTAGACGACAGTTCCGACTGGGCGGTGCACAAAGTGCCCACCTCGGCTCTGGTGCACGGAACTGTGAGAACCGGTCACTACTGGAGCGAGGTGCACCTCGGCCAGGTGGTAGGCGCTGCGGGTGGGAAAAGAATTACATGTATTAGTCACAAAAAGAAATCAATGCTCAACGAGAACAACATTTCTCGGTTATTAGCACTGTAGACAGAAATGTATTACTTTTATATCGTGAACAGCCTACACTGTTAACCTCACCGTTGATAATAACATATATTTTTTTTACCAAACTTTTATCTTTCCCTGTTGGTGTCATCTGTGAAAAAGCGAGGAAATAAGATTTCACACAATGCAGCTTCTGACCAATGTAGCTTTTTTGTCAGCTGCCACGCAGCTCTGAATTAACTTTGCCACATTATAAAAACATTTTAATATGCAATATATACTCGCATGCCGCCTAGAACGCAAGTTTAAAAGCAAAATATTTCAATAGTATTTAAACAAAAGTTCAGACTTAACTTCAAGTTTCAACAGCTGCACATTAATTATCATATGGGCCCTGCTGTCGAAACAGTCTTAGTTTCCAAAGAAAGCAAAGAGAACTGACCCGAAGAAAGGGTCGTGCTTGGTGACTGTGGTCTTAGGGTGGACGAGCTTCTGCTGACTGATGCTGTACCCGTGGGCGTGGGGTGGCACAAAGGCCAGCTCGCTGTGGTGCTCCACCACCGGCTGACGCACCACCGTGGTGGCTACGGGGACGTGACCGGCGGCAGCGTGGTAGACGTGTGGGGCCAAGTAGCCCGCCTGGCAGCTGGCGGCAAGCAGGACGACACAGGGCACGAGAGAGGCCTACAAGGACACAGTATAACGGATTTTAAATCATGCAGCTATAAATATACGAATGCACTGTGTGAAAACGTTGTTCGCGGCGCATATGCTCAAACGAGGTTCCATTGAACCTCTACAAAAAAAAAACGAAATATCTTGATAATGCCGAGTAAAGCAGCAGAAGCGTTGCCTGCGTTCAACGCACTTTTACCAGGAATGTAGTTATTTACGGCCACAATGAATACCATCTACTTATATAAGTGTTGCTAGGACTCTTTATTTATGATAAGATGCATCTATTCCATATCTTTTGACAGATCTTTTTCAAACCGGTGTATGAGAACGCCCGAGCCGAACTTAGCACGCTCGAAAGAGATGCACCCTATTTACAGTAAAACCAGTACTACTTATTTGGAATTAAGGGTGGCGAGCTTTCATAGATATGACTCCGATTAATGACTCAAAGAAACTAGATTGAAATGCAACCAGATCACAGAACTATTTGACGGTATTTCCTTCAAATATCTGCAATTTCCCAGGAAACATCGTAAAACAGTAACAACAAAAATCTCTCCGAAAGATTCTGAACTGCGCTCATAAATCTTTTGTTTCTGCACAAACGGTTTATCCTGTTTGCTATAAGTTGATAATCCCGGAATCGCAGCTCAGACTGAGTGCACTCACAAAGGTGTTCATGGTGTCTGTTGACGGAGGTGCTTTCAGATACTCGTTCGAGCGAAGACTGTGCTATAAAACACGTTCGAGTACTCCTTTTATGGGCAGCTATGAGGAAATGCTGGAACTTGTCATAAACATGCCTGGCCGGAGACAGGAATGTAGTTTAGTAAGGTACGTTGTTGGGCTAGTTGGTTCATCTTAGTATACCGCCCATATTCCGGTTGCAACACCTCAGAGACTGATATCGTCTCTATCCTCCGGCAGTCTTGAGAGCGGTAAGATAAGCCGGATGATAGCCTTACCGGCAAGACTGAGATTGAGATTCTCTCACTACCGGCACATTATTAAACTGCGTGACACGGTTGTTTGCCTTCGTGAGAAAAGTGCAAACCGTGACGGGTGCGATTTGAAAAATATTAGTCTCGCCTTTCCCGTGAACGATTTGTAGATGCTTAAAATATTTTCCCCCAAACCGAAGTGCACTTTGTCCTTTTACAACCGACTTTATGTTACCTCGTCGCGGCCGAAAACACTTCTTAAATTTTCAGTCACGTAGCTGACGAAAAATGTATGATATTATTTACGAGCGGCCAAGGATTGCGGAAATTAAGTATCGGCACCTTCTTTATAATTTTCTAACGCGCATTTTCAGCACACGATTTTTGCTACGATTTGAATCCTACTCATCATTTTCAGTACTTGTGAAACACATATAAAGCTTTACAAGTTGAAGCCTTAGAAATTCTTGGTTTTCCAAAAATCAACCTATTGCCTTCTTATGCCCAGCGAAAGGGGAAAAAAACAAACAAAAAACAAGGGGTTCTTTTTTACACAAAATTACCTCCCCTATATTGCTTATAGCAATGAAGATTATCCACCCAAAAATTACCATTGTATCATTTCCGTAAATGCTTTCATGAGCTGCGTCGACGTAGCTGTCCGTACTTCCCGATTCCAGGCAAGCCGTTGTGGCCATGGAAATCAGCCTTACCGGCAGTCTGACATGCTTGCAGTAAGGTTACGCGGTGAGGAAAGAAATATGTTGTGCGGCTTTGAAATAATATTTGTCTTACTCTGATGGATCTGTCCAAGCCCCCTGAATACGTAACTAAACTCAAAAGGCGCAAAGGACAAGAATAGCCCCAAACGTGCATCAATCATTCCTGTTTAGGGGCACTAATTGTCCTTTGCGTATTTTATTTTTTTTGTCGTTTTCACGGGGATTGAACGAATTCACTTAAGTACGATAAATCGCTTTTATTAAAGAATCCTCGATGATATACAGCAGGGGTGGCCAAACTGCGGCTCGCGAGCCGGATGCGGTTCTTCGCGGGTTCAAGTGCGGCTCGCGGCTCCCTGGTAAGCGTGCCCTCCTCCCCCTCCTGTGTCCCCATGACGAAAAGAGCAGTGGAAAATACTTCTAGAATTTTAAAAATGTAACAGTCTTGGCAGCCTTGTACTGCATTACGTACATACAGCTGGACAACTTTTCGACAAATAAGTGTGTCCAGTGACCATGTTTCACTTTATTGCTATAGAAAGACTTTCGAATCGTATGCGGATAACGGGCGTCAGAGGCAGAGGCTGGCTATCGAACCATGCGTTAATTTTTGCTTACCGGTTCAAGAAAGGTTCTCCTGCCTGGTGTGATTTGCTGTAGTCGACAATTATACTTGTCCCACTTGGAAAGAAGTGTTCCCTCCATATCCTTTCTTGGTAAAAGTAACCATCCCCCAATTTTGTTTTTACGCGGCTCCCTGAATTTTTGTAGTTTTGTCTGTGGCTCTACCTGGATGTCACTGTGGCCACCCTACGTATAAAGTATGGGTACCGTCTTATGGTCTATATTATGAGCATACGACTACTTCTTTGAAATCAATGCCAACAATTCTTTTCATCACCCGTGCACAACAAATAAAGAGTTATCTGTTCAAACCCTGAAAGAGTTTGTTTTGCCAGAACTCAGGCTCTTGTCCTTTTACAGCAGAACCTGTACAGGGCTTGTTGCATCGGGTAAGTGGCATGTTACCGAAAACGAACGGAGGACGTGCGCGTTTAGCGCAGGTTGCTTTGGCGGCGGGATAATGTGAGTACAGCGGTGATACTTCAATGTGAAGAGAGAGAGAGAGAAGTGTTGAAAAGAAAGGAAGTCTGGAATTTTAATGTGAAGCAGCGCTGTGTCCTGTCGGTTACCTTCTACTTTGTCCTCGTCTTTGCACTGTTTTGCTTTTAACAATGTGATACCCTCACACTTTATTTCATTATAGTCGCCGTTCGGGCGCAGCACCTTTGCCGAATCGCGATTGCGCTGGGGGTCATGTGATCGCTGCCGTCGTCAGCTGCGCCTTCTAGCCGTTATCGCCCGTTCCCTCTGCGATCTAAGCCTTTCCGCGTAAGAATGGGACGGCCGAAGCATACCCTGGAGCATGCAGCGGCTGCTCGACAGCGTAAACGAGCCCGTGAGAGAAAAAATGATGAGCCTTTGCACACTGTGAGTGTGGATGACCAGCGAAGCTGTTTACCACACGACACAGACCCGCCCCGAGGAGCCGAAGGAAACTAGACACGCGCGACGGGACCACCACCCGGCGGAAAGTAGACACGCGCACTGAATCGGCCACTCCGGGAGAGTGTAAGGGAAGGAAACCAGGCACGCAAGCGGCTTGGAACGTCGACCAAGAGAGGGCGGTACGAGCGTAAACAAAGCCAACGCGGGTCGCACAGCGGCCAATCATTGAGAAACCTTTATTGTCTGCGTGAGAGTGTACCGATTTTGAAATTGGTGCCTAATGAAAACTGATCCGCTGAATATACCTCTTGCTTCATTCCCCAAGCATTAAAGAGAAGGCGGGGAATTGTGTTCCACGCGCCGCACGTGCCGCCGTCTGCAGCAACAACTGTTTTGAAGAAAAAGCCGAAACCAGACGCCATCTTGCACGCGCTTTCATCTGCACTTTATTTTCGGTTATATGCTTCGAATATTTTATACGTTGAAGGCGCCTGCGTGTGGCGCCGGCGTCTGCAGGACTAACAGTTCTAACGCAAAAGCCTAAAACAAATGGGAGTTTGGACGCGCGTGCGTCAACGCTTCAGTTTGGTTATTTACTTCTGAGTCTTTTTTACGGGATATGCGTGCGCTTTCGCCGCATCGGGTGGTGGGAGCGTAGATCTTTTAGTCACTGCACACGAAAAATCCACCGAAGCCTAGCCATATACAGCTTCACTGTAAAAACTGTAAAGGCATTTGTGCGGGATGTCCTAGCAAACATGCTTGGTGGTAACTGTTCTGAGTGGGATCAGTTGTAGTTTACGCGAGACACCACGCGACACAGCGTCATCGGAATTTCGAGTAAATAATCACGTAACATACTCGAAATTTTGCACCAGTCAACGCTGTTTATTCGCAACATCGTCCGGCAGTTTTATGTCAAGTGAAAAACCAAACGTGCCTAAGCTGTTTCTCGCCATTGCATCTGTACTTGTCGCTTGCGGACGAAGATAAACAAAACGCAAGATATATGGGCCGCCCTTTGTGCATAAAATGAACTGCCCTGTGTCCCTCATGACAAAACCATGTTTCACCCAAATTCGACCTTTATTAGAAGTAGCATCTTCGCAGAAGCTTAGATTAGCTGAACCCTTGTATCTGTCCGTAATTCTCACTGGCCGGCAAGCCGTTATGGTCATGAAAATCAGTCTCACGGGCAGTTCTGAAACGCTTGCAGTAAGGCTGCGCGCTCACGAAAGCCAATGCATTACAATAATTGCATTTTTGAGCACTGAGATGAAGTCCTTGGTGGGCTTTCTTTTTAGGCTCTTAGGTGCGCAGCATAAAGCGCTGTTAAAGCCACACCGATGCAATAAAATTAGAGTCACTGAGGCGCGATTTGCGGCTGTTGTTGTGTGTGGTTACCCGCACGGTCGTGGGATGAAATAAAGGAAGTGCCGAGGAGATCCTGCGTAAGGAAGCATTGATCTTGTTGGAAACATCGTATGTTGCAAATCACTGAAAAAAAGCAAAAAACGGACTGTTTCTTTAATGCTTGCCTGCGCGCTACACTCAAAACACGACAGCATTTCGACCTTTTCAATATGATGGCCGTATTCCGGTGATTTATTTGATACGACCTTCATTCCCTCGCTTAGACCTAGATCATAGCGGAAGAACCCCCCCACCCCCTTGCTTTTTTGTCCATAGCCAAACCAGGGTTTCTTCTAAATAGTTGTGAAGACGACATAAGCATTCTGAAGAAGCCGGAACGCTTCCTTTTGTATCGGGTGGTAGATTGCGCCACCTAGCCTAAGGACGTTTACATATCTCCCTTTTAAAATGTGATACAAATTCCGTCTCTTGTTAAATCATCTGCCACATCAAATTTGAGTAATTTCACTACTGTAGATATCCTCCCATCCAATAACCTACTTTTCGTGATTATAATGTTTTGGCCCTCCGTTCTTCCACCATTGCCAGAAAATCCGAGTGATTCCATCAAATCAGTTACCCATTTATGCAGCGTAAGGTGTAGCCCCATGCAAATCAATACCACATGATTTATATGGTCGATATCACAATGGCACACTGCACATATTTGTCTACCTCCTCAAATGTATACGTCTATGTCTTTGTCCATAAGATTCTCACTTCTCGCCTCAAACAGTCAAGAACTACCTCGCAAATTTTCAATCATCTTTTTCTCTCAGATAGTTTTTCAGAGAGAAAAACAGCTAAGGCTAGTGATGAGCGACAATGCCGGCCATTGTAGGTAGATTAGAGGACGATAAATTCTTCTGGGAGTTTCTAACAAGCTATTTGGCAAAACAATTGCTAGGACGATTACGCGGCAAGATGCAAATCGACAGAGTCAGCACAGGGTGCCACATTTCGATGATATGGGATCGTGACTGTATGGAAATTCTGGTGATCTTGCGCTGCGTGGAATCTCGCGAAAACCACAACCGGTCAAAGAGAACAACTAGTGCCGCACGTTTTCAGGGACGCGCTGCACAAGCTGTTTCGTCGCACCAGCATGTCCAGTCTTCGCTCGACAACGT